AGAAGGTTTCCATTTATGCAAGGGATATATACTTCGTGATATGAAAAGCTTACAATATATTTAATGATTTCCTATTTTCTATGGGTTCAGGGTATAACAATGTGCGAGTTTATTGAAATATTAAAAAACAATATATCAAGGAATTTTGGATTGACTAAAGTAGATGTGAGATTCTGGATACCTTATGAATTTATGCAAGCATACAGTACTCTGAGAAAACCTTGGAAACTTCCGTTCAACACGTGCAGATATAAAGCTTTTTGCTATGTTAAAGCATGCAAATTAATATTATATATGAGTTTATACAAATATTTTAGTATGATTATATATTTTCATAGTCTATAAGAGTTAAAATACAGACAATTCGATACATACATATAAAGAACTAATTATAGTATCGTTCTTTCTTGCACTGAAGATATCAACCGCAAAGTGTCAAAGAGTTGGACACTTGAGGCAAAGCACTTTGCGCGCCAGCCAAAATAAAGGACAATAAGGGGGAGGTGACTTAACATTTAACAGTTCGGATATTGAACAGATATTTCACAGAAATTTCTTTGTAGCGCCATAATTAATTGCTTCATTAACAGCGCCACAAAGTGGCAAACTGTGGGGCAACCTAAAGTAGTAAGAGACGAAGTACATCAAACACAATTGGGGAGAGAGAGAGAGAGCAGAGTTGAATGGACAGATGCACAGTGAAAGTTTGACAGCCCTGCTAATTGAATTGTCTTTCAGAAGCCGCCAAAAAAAAGTAAAGAAAATAAAAAAAAAATTTAAGAAAATTGTCTTTGGTTATATATATATATGAAAATAAGTTTATGAGTATAGAATTTGAATATTATAAGCCAATCTAATATAAAACAGATTTATTGCAGAGAATAGCCACTATAAATACGACAAAAACCAAAAATACATCTGCATTAAGCTCTTAAGCTTTTCTCTATGCATGCCCTCTAAATGAAATTAACTAAAATTAACCACAAAATACACAAACAAAAAGTCACAGCATTTATATTTATATATAGTTATATATCACTCTAAATACATATTTATATATATGTATATGCTTTTGTTTTCAACACACAATAATGTGCTGAATTTAATTTGAATGCCTGCCCTGCTTCGGCTGCTGCTGCTGATGATGATGAACTAAAATGCTCTGGTATTCGGTTTAATGCCAAGTTGGCACAACAAAATGCCAGCGGCCCGCTAATAGTGTCAAAAGTTTAATGATGAGGCCCGCCTGTCACTTTTGGGGCCGTCTCCCGTTAAGTAGACTTCTCCAGCCCAGCCCTGCCCAGCCCCCCCACACGCTAGCGCTAACCCCAGTTTCGAAGAACCGACATGTTTGCTAAGTTCCTGAATGGAACAGCTGTCAGCGCCGGGCAAGTGACAGCCATATTGAGGATGCGACTATTTATATATATATGTATATAGCGTATGTACGTATTTGTATATATTTGGCTCTGTTTTATTTCATATATAACCAAAATGGGGTTATTAAGGGAAAAACTTACAGGCGTACAGTAAATTAAATTTAACAAATCAATTTATTAAGACATGCATTAAAGTCTTTTATCTTATTCCAGGATATTTACGTCATATATTCAACTCAGTTCAGAGCTTGGATACTCATTTCTATTTTCTCAATCAGATCAAGGCAAAAGCAATAATATTTATTGGATATAGAGATGCTGTATAGCAGAGATGCTTGTTTCAGTGCTGAAACATTTCCGATATAGCTTTAGCTCATGAGCATATTTTTCGTAAGACTTCACCACAAGAGAAGACTTCACAGAAATATCTCCATAAGTCACATCTAATTGATTGATTTGCCCATAGTTTACTCAGCATTGCAGACATAAATCCTAAATAAAACCTCGTCATCAGGAGAATGGCTTCACACCTTTTTCTAGCATTTACATACATAAGACTACGAGGTATATACATACATATAAAAGTTTTTGCAGTTTGCCACGTAAAATTTAATTACACAAAACTTAAATAAATTAATAAATTGAAATATTAACAAATATAATTGTAGAATTCTAAAATTAAGTAACTTCAGGCTTACGCTCTCTAATTTACATATTCAAAATATTGCAAACCTATTCCGACTGCCCTACGCTTCAATTTAACAACAAATCTAGCCAGTAAATTAGCGGAAAGAATATAGCGATCGGCATTCGAGTTCTTACAACTCCAACTGTATGTTAGAGAAATAATAACTAATTACATAATAATATTAAAATAAGCGAAGGAAAGCAACAACTAAAACTAAACAAAAATCTAATGAATTTCGGTGCAACAGTTCCGCAAGAATTTTCACAATTTCACGCGTGGAGCGATCGATGCATCGATCGGTTGCACTTAAAACAAAATAAACGCATTTCGCTGGCAACAAAGAAACAATTAGCAGGGCCTTGAGAATTAGTTGGACATGCACAACGCAAACAGAGACAGCGCGGGTGCGAGAGGGAAAGCGAGAAAGAGGGAAAGCGAGAGAGGCCTATGCCTCTACGAGTTACAGATGAATTTATTTGCTGAAGCCTTGAACTGCCGCTAAATTTTAGTGTAACTCTATTTTGGTGTTATCTTTTGTACTTTTGCCGCAACTCAAACGCAAACAGCCAACCAAAACAAACAAACAAACGAACGGGCAAGCAAACAGACATTCGAATAGACAAACAGAAACACCAAAAGGGCCATTCGAACCAGCCGAAGATCATTTGCAGTGCAACAGTTTCTCACACTGATGAGCGGAATTGTTGGAGTCGAGCTTGGGCTGGGGGCGCAGTTGACGCTCACCGGGCGTTCGCTGCAATTGCTGCCAATTAGAATTAATGCGTTTTTTATAGAAACAGCTCGAATTTCCAGCCGCTGTCAACTGCAGAGCAGATCACACACGTCTGGACGTGGGCCCAGCGGAGCCCCCCTTTTCACAAAATTCGCTAAATCCCCGTCGACAGCCATTTCCGTGCACTAAATCATCGTATTGACGTCTCGGCGTCATCATCCTCATCGTCATTATTATCATCATGTAGCGCAGCAGTCGTCGCGTCATTCCATCCCCCGCACTCCAACTGGCCCAAGCCAATTCAGCAATTTGTGGTCGGCTAGACGCTGCGACTTCTAATAATTGTGACGAGCTGCGACTGACTTACAATGGACAAGAAAACCAAATATTAGAGTATTGTATTTGCTATATACCACATACAGCATATATAATCATTTAT